AATCACTGGGAGAAGAGTAGGAGGGCTAATCTTTGCCCCCAGCTCCCATTTCCTTACATACATAGCATATCTGAGTCAGTTTGTTGTTTTATGCTGCTATCCTACCCTAGTTATCCTGATGGAGATCCCACGATCAGGAACTTCTATCTTGGTTGTTCAAGATAGCAGGAAGATCAAGCCCTCTCCCCTTCTTAATGATCTCAATCCGAATCAGTGTTTGGAGAAAGAAAAAAAGCAATCTCCCCTATAGTGGAATCAGCATTGTAGAAGAAATATTAACCTATCTAGTGATATTAGTGACATTAAAACAGTTGGGTAGGTGTTAAAGCTTTCTCCCACCAAGAGCTCTCAGTCAAGATGGCTGTCCTGGTATTTTGAACAGCTTAAAGTAAGTGAGATTTCATCAAGGATAGGGACCATCTAGAGAGAAAGTGATGGCTCCATGCCAAGAGCAAGTTGCTCATGGTTGTTTTGGAAAACTTACATGAATACTACAAAGAATGAGAATTTAAAAAGTGATGTGTGATAGTCACACTTCATTGGTGTTCACATACTCAGAAAAAATATAGGGTGAAAAATTTCACAGTATTTTTTCCAAAGACAATTGTGACCCAAAGTATGTAGAGAATCCCAAATGAACTAAGCAAGTGTCATTTTATGGCTTCTGTTCCAGCTGTTGCACCATCAGCTGTATCTTTATCAAATTCACTTGGGTTCAAAATGCATGGCAATTGTCCAGCATTTATTTCTCACAGTGTTTACTAGGAAAGAAATCTGGAACAGGAAGAACAGATCAAAGGTCTGTATTAGGATTAACTGGAAAACTTTATACATCAACAAAAGTGTTGTGTTTTTTTTTAAAAAAAAGCAGAAATGCTTGACAAATAGAACCTAAGAAAACAAAAGCTTTGTCATCCTTCTTAGAAATGATTTTGTGACGAGTTTGCTACTGCTATTGCTTTTACTGCATCAGAGGCAGAAGAAAGAACTGAAATGCAATTGGCATCATTTTCAGTTGCACCTATGTAGCCTATTTATATATATATATATTTTATTACACCTTTTATGCCACCAATTTTACCAATTTTAAAATTCTCTGTGGTTTAAGCTACATCATACAAATAAAACATGCAGAGACTCTGTTCTGACCCATAGGTGAACATGTAGAAGCAAAAGCTGAATATGAATATATTTAAACATATTCCATGTGTTTATCATCACCTTGACTTGTAGATCTACAAAAATTACAAGCTGTCACACACACACACACACACACACACACACACACCCCAGTTTGGGCTCCAAGTTCTAATTAAGGGCCCCAAATGCAACTCCCTAAGCCAGCAGTGAGTGCCTGAAACCTGTGAACACCCCCCCCCCGCCAACGAATTTGATCAAGCAACTGTTTTAATATGTGTTCATTAGAATATGATTTCAGATTTTCCCTCTTATTTTAAGTTACTGTGAAAATTGTTTTCAAAAATTGAGATTTTATGTATCTGGGTCATTGATCGTAATAAAGTATGTGATGTGATACAAGTAGAGATCTTTTGTTCCACTGTATACAGTACCATGGTTGTCCCAAAAGATACATTCCACTGTTAGGCCTTTTCTGGGAATTACCCATTAACTTCACTAAAGACCTGGCACATCCCTAAAAGAAAAAAAAAAAATCTGACTTCACATAATAATTAATCCACCTGACTGGTAAAGTGTGTAGTGGAATGTGGAAGCAATCATGGTGAGAAAATAGGAAGATCGCTGCAGGGTCATCTGACCAAAGGTCCATCTATGATGCTTCTTTCAGTGGGCAAAGAAATAACTCTGGGAATTCACAAGCAGCTCGTGATAGAGCAGATTTCTCCCTCATAGGTTTCAGGTAACAAGTTGTAATCCTGAGGCACTCTTATCTAAAAGAGAATGGAACAAACATCATCTGATAGCCATTAATTCACGAGCTGCATTTAGATTCCAAGAACGCTGGAGTTCGAAGACCACCTAATGTTACGGCTATCCTGCCAATCCAGTGCAGAAACCCAGACTAAAGCATTTCCAGTTTATCATTACCTTGAAGCAGCCGTAAAAGGGGAGCTCCCACCTGCCTGGGTAATTGGTTCCACTGTCATAATCTCTCTTACTATGAGGAATTTTTCCAAACATCCAGAAGAATCTGCCTTCTTGTAACTTAAATCCATTATTCTGCACCTACACTCGGAAACAATAGGAGACCAATTTTGATTTCCTCCTGTATGAGAACAGTTGAGATACCTGGAAAGTGTTCCTGTATCCCCCTCCCAATCATCTTTTCTCAGTATTAAGCATATCCAGTTTGCACAGTCTCTCCTCAAAAGACTTAGTTTCCACCTTGACCGTCTTCCCTGCCTTGCCCTTGTTCCAGGCTCTACACTGTTGCTGAAATGTGGAGCCAAGAACTGAATTACTCAAATTGAAGTCTCACAGTACAGAACATAATGAACTATTGGTTCCTGCCTAGGCGTTTAGAAATTTTACATTTATTTCATTTACAGTTTTAGCAGTCATGCCACACTGATGACTCATATTCAACTTGTGAATATCTAGAATTCCAAAATCCTGTCCACAAACACTTTTAAAAAGCCAGGAATTTCCTATCCTATATCTCTGCATTTGTTTTATTTTGCCTAAAAAACAATCAACTTTACAGCCTATTTGTCTTCTTTGTTGTTACTTTCAGCCTGCTTCCCAACCTCTCCAGATTGTTTTGAATGTTATTAGCTGTTCTATTCTGTTTTGTCTCTTCTGAAGATTTGATAAGCATTCTCTTGATCTTTTCATCCAAATGTTAAAAGAACTTGTAGAGCACAAGGTATATTTGTCTGGTTGCATTGAAATAGAAAGACTTTCTGCATAAGAAGAAAAGAATACTGAAAAGGGAGGAGTAAGAAACACACAGATTTGCATAAAATTATACAGATAGATGCCAATTTGGAAATAATTACTACAATTTAAGTAGAAATATACCTCACCACAATTGGGAAGACTGTGAGCCTGTATAATAAATGTCCCATCTATAAAGTTCTGTCTACAATGCACCATTTTGGAGGACCACCTATGCAACAATTTAGATCATCCTCAGAGGTCTTATGCTCCCCTGATCCCTGCAGGTGTTGACTTGGGCTGGGGAAAATTATACAGTGGCTGCTGTCATTTTCTTCTCCAAAAAGAATTTCTTTTCAGCCCTGAAATATAACTGGTTTTGAATGGGTAAACAGTCGAGGAATGTCTTTGTCCATCTGGTAGTCATGAATGTTAACATCTGTTTTTCATGATTGCCTACCTCTACAACTATCTTCTTTTGGTTCCATAGCACTTTCCAGCACAATTTTTACATGCAATTGGTTAGAACTCAGTCCTGCTACTTTCAATTTATAGAGACTTCCAATTACATATGTACTTTGCTCTGTCTCCTTTAAGTCAGCTAATTACTTATGATTACATCCTTATAGTTTTCTTGATGACAAAATGGAAGTAGCTTATCATCTTATTCTGAGATACTTTTTCAAATTCCCAAACTAGTTTACAGATCTGGGATTCCCTGGCAAATTCCCATTGAAGTATTAACTGGGACTGATCCTGCTTAACGTTTCTGAGATCAGCCTAAGGTGGCTAGATATTGCCACCTGCTGTGACAAGCAGATAAGAACACATCCCAAAGAAGTTAATCTGGACCGATATTATACTTATATGATGTTTACATTTTCTTATATACAGCATTAGTTTAGCCTACTGCAACTTTTGAATTTTAGTCTGATTTTTTAAAAATGTATCTTTTTGATAAAATGCCATGGGATGAGGGTTGAATAGTAATATAAATATTTTAATAATATTAAAGATTGGAATAATTTTAAAATAACATGTTACTGTCATGGAGACTATAACACTGTCAAGCTTTTAATGAACCAGCACCTGGACTATATTTTATGAGCCTCTTTTGAGGCTTTGACATCTTAAATAAAGAATATATCCAAAACTTAGGAGCTTCTGAGGATTTGAAGGCATTGCTCCTTCAAGGGGAGCTGTAGCATCAATGGGGCCATGGAAGAAAAACTAAGAGTGGCCCATACTCTCACCCTAATTACTCTTCCTCACTAACATGAGTGCTAAGAAATAGGCAAGGCTGGGATTCAGCTTGATGAGTGACCAAAGTAGCTTCCTGCCTTAAAAACTTTGTGAGTATCCAAAATTTTAATTTACTTATACAACACAGCATGAAGGGTTTTACTGAATCAATCAAAGGCCTACTTTGGCCAGAAGTCTGTTCCTAAGATAACCAACCAGATGTCTTCGGTTTGAAGTTTACAGACAGGACAGTGCTCCACTCATTCAATGGTGCTAAGCAAAAATGTCTCCCATCAATTGCCTATTCTTTTATGAACATGAAGATGCCCTGCTCTCCAAAATCTAAAATTTAACATAGGATTACAGCTATTAATCCTTTGAGGATTAAGAGTGGTGTAGACATTTTAAGTGATTAAAAAAATAAGTAAACGCAACCCATACAGCTTGACTAGAAATGGCTTTCAGTTATAGTAATTAGCCTGTGGCTTTGAGTACAAAACAGGGAACCTACTCAGCACTTTCAGATTCAGTGGATGTGATCCTATACTCAGACGCTCTTCTGAATACCTGTTCCATGACACACTGTTGATTTGTAAGTAAACTAAATTCATGCCCCTTAGCAATCGTTAAAAAAAAGATTACAGCAAAAAACGAAGGCTTGAATGAAGAAAATGCAGCATCGAGCTAGGGAATATTCCAGCTAAAAACCAGCACCTATATACCGACTGAAAGAATAGAGGATATTTTTAATCTCACTCCAAAGGTTCGACAGAGGTAATCTTGTACTTTTGGGGTAATATAGCAGGACAGAGAAAACCACGCCTGCATGATGGCACATACTTTTCTTTTCCTCATAGGCTTATCTATACAAAAGCAAGAATTCAGAATATTTAATAGTGCATTGTACAAAAAGTTTATTAATGAATAACCTTATTTTTTAAAAAAATCTTCTTGGCCATCTTTTTAAATCTCTTTTTGTAGATCAGCTTTGTCTGTTTAAACAAATATTAAGTAATACTAAAGAAATATACACACAAAATTATAAAAAAAATGTTTAACCTAAGGTTGAATTCTCAAGAAATAAAAAACACTGGACTAGTTTGCAAACAACTGAAATTTTAGAAAATTAGGAACAGAGCGAAAAAGCACTAATATTACATAGAAATGAGTAGAAATGTTAAAAAGTAGTCCTATTTCACATAATCACCGAGTTTTTCAAGAGAATATCTGTTAGGTATTTTTACTACAATGAATAAAACTCTTTTAAGTCACAGCTTCATGCTTTGAGTTATTTGCTATACATTTAAAAGCATCCTGTTGCACTGCTACCCAGCAAGTTGATTAGAAACTAGACATTTTTGCACTGTTGTCTCTCCCATGACTATATTTTAAAGGTTAATTGACGTTTTAAGGTAGAGCTTCTTTTGCCAGTTTTGTAATTTTTGTTTAAACTCCCATCACACAGTTATGAGTCTGATTACAGAGTGCAGTATAGATAGTAGCATTTTTTTCTCTGCAAAAGTAAACAATTCAGTAGAAATGACTGTCAAAGGTTGCCATGTTCAAACAGGTTAAATCCATTTTAAAAAAAAAAGCCTTAACATTAAAAACAGAAATCTTTGAGCATGCAACCGTTCAAAGGGTTTAAAAAGGGATGGGACAGTTGCAATATTTAAGGAATAGAATGAATACTTAAGGAATATAAAGAAAAGAAAAAGAGAATTATACAAAGGTTTCAGGAAGCTTAAATTATGTCATACAACACTGTATCAAACACTAGAGCTTTTCCAGGTTGGGCAGTCGGCTTTTGTTTAATGTTTACTTCACGTCATGACAGCCACTTCAAGTTCAAAACACACACGTGTATTAACGAGAATATAAGGCCAGCAGGTCGATGAACATTTTGACAAACTCCTAAACCCACGGTCCTTCCCACCATCCGAGTCTGATTACTGCTGCTGACCGATAGAACAGGAACCTGGGATCTTGTCCTGGTTTCTGAACCCATGTGACGCCTTGGTTTCCATCCTGAAGATCTGCCAAGCTCTCTTGATTCCAGGGTCCTTTGCGTCAGTCTGACAAGGAGGGCGAGTGAATGGACCGTCCGCTGGCAGGGCTGTTGGAGAAGGTGAAAGGCTCCTTGTCTTTCTCCTTGTTGTCATGCTTGTGTTTGTGCTTGTGCTTGTGTTTGTGCTTCTTCTTCTTCTTCTTGTGTTCGTGATGGTGATGATGATGGTGCTCACTATGCCTGGAAGAGCCAGACTCTTTAGCAAAACCAGCCAGCGAAGGCAGAGGTGCTGGCAACATGTTCGGCTCCAAGGAAGACTGTTCTTTACCTGAAGTTAAAAAAGGAAGACAGGTCCGTTAAAAAAAAGAAAAAGAAAAAGAAAAAGAAAAAGAAAAAGAAGAGATTGGAGAGCTGAAAGTTATGCCCTACCCTCTGGCGCAACCTCTTTAACAGCATCTCTATTAGAAGTTGATTTATGTCATTGGTTTTAAGATTACAAACCTACTGCTGCAAAGCACTCTATCGATTTTTATAACTGTTATAAAGATCAACTTATAAAAATAATATTATAGGGTTGTCGAAACTATCTGCAAAACATGCCTCATCAGGAGGCGGACTTATC